AGCTAATAAGATAGGATGTGGTGGGTAACCTATAGTGATGGAGAGCTCTAAAAACTTGACGAGCTTTTTCCCGACATTTTTTAATGGGAAAAGCGCTGGGTAGCGGCGGCCCAGAGTTTGATTGATGATTTCCCAGGCAAAGTCTCCCCTAATCGAAAAACCCTTCTTAAGCCCTCCTTGGGAAAACTCATATGGCTGGCAATTTTTTACCTCCCGACCTCCTCAGTAGCCGGTGTAATCCCCGTTAGCCGGCAAATCTTAACGGGGTCGGGGTAGATCCCCCCCGGAATATGGATCAGATCGGCCTATTTGGAGGGAGTGGCCACAACGTCTTCGCCGATAATATCGGTCCTTGTGGTCATTTGATAGTCTTCATTCTGGAGAATCTCTTACAATAAACGCAATTTTTTTTGTACATAAGGGAATCTTTATTCTAATAAAAAACTTGATTTGATTCATCAATCTTTATTTTATTTTTTTCTTTCACCAACTGTTCAATCCTTTAGGCCATTTTCGAGGAGAAAAATGAAAAGAAAAAGACCTGTACCACTACATCTCATGAAGGATCTTGGGTTCCGTACTATTTAGAGTAAGTACTGTTTATTAGTCAACGGTTTTGCAAGGAGGTGATTTGACTGAGATCACACTCAACCGCTAAGTTTTCTCCTTAATTAATTATTTAATTAGAAGCACCCACTTTATAAAGGATGGGTGTGCCCCAGGAGGATCTCCTAATCCCAGGGTCGGCCCAATGCTAATGAAATAGAATAAATAATTTTTCTGCCATGATCCGGGATTCGAACCCAGGACCTTAAGCATTGAAAGATCAGTGCCCTACCACTGAGCTACAATACTCTCCCCCTCCCCCAAAAAAAAAGTCACGGTGCTATTATATTTATTTTTATATATTCGGGGTATTCATTCACTTGTTGTAAATGCTTAATGTGCTATCAAGATAAACATTACACACGAATTTTGAATGAATGTTAAGTAATCTGTCTCTGCTAAAGTGTTATCAGTTATAGTAAGGTTATGCTTTTACTGTAAACAAAGTTTGTGAGTCCTTAATTGATCTATTAACGTTTTGATTTATTTTTGAAATGCCAAAGCGAAGTGAAAAAACTGAGTTGCTGCAGTATTTGATTAAATATGCTTGAATGAAGATTCAAATGATACAGAAGGCAAACTTGATGAATGCTTAAATGAAGTCCTAGCTGACTTTATATTCCGTTTCTTTGGATATTGTACGCAAACAAAGAACAAAGAATCAAACACATGAAAACCTTACAATAATCTTTTTCGTTCGTTTACGAAGTTAGCCACACTTTGCAGGGCCTTAAGCTGCGTTAAAATCGAGAGTGGTTGCGACCATATTTAACACACATTTCGTTAATCATTTTCCCGATTTTACAGATTTAAGAGGTTTAAAATAGTTAGCACTAGTTGCATGAATATCCCTTATATTTCTCAAAGATTTATTTATTATTTTATTTTTTTGTCGCAACGCCATATCTTCGTTTGAATCATCATTTGAATATCTTCTTCTCCTTCAGTTGGGAAAAGAGTCACTTCCCATCGAAATTGCAGGAAAAAAGTTATAAAGGAAAAGAAAAATTATTTGCTAATAATTCAAAAAGTGTTTTTTCTTTGAGTATTCTAAATATCATCAAATTCACTACACAAATAAATAAAAAATAAATAAAATACCAAAAATTGGATCATTATTAAAAAAGATACAGTCCATTAGATTTAGTATACACAATAATTTCTTCCTCTTCAAAGTTACTGCATTTACTATTATACTATCTAAAAAATAAATAAATTAAATGTGCCGATTTAATCGGATCGATTTTAGCAAATAAATACCCACTAGTGAATTGTACAAAAAAGTTGGTCTAATAATGTTAATTTAAGTTAATATGTTAATTGAGAAATAATACATAAAGCTGAGTGAGGACATTCATATAGGTAGTACAATAAAAAAATAAAAAGATAAAAAATATATATCTAAATAACAAAGGCAAAAGCTATAAAATCAAAGAAATGTAACTTGAAGTCAAAATTAAATACAATACTGAAATTCTTAGCAAATTAAATAAATTATAAGTAAAAGAAATAAAAAAAATAGATTAAAAAGAAAAACATTCATACTTAATCTCAATATTTACAATCAGCCCAGGGAGCTCCGGCAGCCACAATGATTGTTATAACTTCAGGATAAATCCACCAATTTATGCAAGAAGTATTAGAGATTTAGAGCTCTATGTGCTACGGAATGGTACAAACCCTACTTCCGTAAAAAAATTAGAAGTTGTGAATGCTTTAGTTAACGGCAAAAAAAAAAAAAAATCCTGTTAGAAAATCAAGTACTAAAATTTACAATTTTTGATTTAAAAAAAAAAATGTATTTAAGAGTTTTAAAGGACACTGAAAACCAATCTAACTTACTTTTTCATAACAAAAATTTACTTGGTATATTTTACTGGAATTGCCTTTTGGTTTTTGTAATCTTTGATACATTATAATTCATTTAATACAATACTCAGTATGTTTTTCTTTTTCAGCACAAAAAAATAAAGAATTTCGTTGATAGGTATATTATAACTTGAAAATCCGAAAGCAAAGGCAAAAATAAAGGACATACATTTTGTTCTAAATTATATAAAATATTTTATATCATTAAACAAATAATCGTTTGAAATCGTTGATCCAGTGACAGAAAACTCCTCTTGTAAGTGTGATACTGGAGTTGTTTCGCAAAAAAATATTTCTCCCATTTATTAGTTTTCCAAATAATAAAAAAATACACATATCCTGCAATATTGGAGCAAAACTCACCTGAAAACGTAAATCGGAAATAAGCCGGCCAAGGTTTAGACTATAATAAATATCAATATTTTAATTGTTATATAAGTGTTTAAAATCTAAATAAAAAATACAAATCTAAACACAAGTATCCCATGTCATCTGGGATCCCTTTGGAATGGATTATAATTTGTCTCGGAAACGATATTATTTTGGATTTTAAAACACAGTATTCAATACGTATCAAATAAACCAAACCGAACCTTGATCACTGCGTTGAAATCGTTAAAACGAAATTTGTTCTATCTAGATCCAACGAGTTACGAACATCGGAGTTTTGAAACTTCCTGATTTCATTGATTTGATCTGAAACTTCCTACTTTTTTCAATGACTTTGACAAAGTTTTAGGAGTGATTTAGTGATCGAAATTCGGATTCTTCACTTCTCCCTTAATTTTCCTTTCGTTTGATACTCCATTTGCCATAATCCATCGCTCCTAAGAGCCTGAAAAGAAATCGATACTACTGTATTAGATCGACAGCCACACTGCAAAAGCCTGTAAGAACAATTTCTATGGAAAATGAGATTTTCTGATCAATCTTATCCTAGCGCATATTCTGATTCCACAAAATGAAATCTACGATGTTTTATTTCTTCTCTAAGGCCTTTTGTAAAAACCAGCAAATTGTAAGTTAAAGTGAATTTCATAGAGAAAAAAACCTTAACAAATGCTCAATGAAAGGTGGCCATGTAAATACAGAATGTATAAAGCGTTTTGCGCAAAGAATACAGTATGAATTAGCTTTATTAATGGGATAAAATTAATTTTTTTCATACGCTTTGTATTCTTTATTTAAATTTCTAATAAGTTGCCGGCACTTCCAGCCCGGCGCTTCTGGACAAATTCCCGAGTTCTCCTGCTATGAGGCCGGAACTGCTTACCATGGAACTAGACAAAAGCCTGTAAGAACAAAAACTAAAAATTTTCAAAGGGCGTTATTTTGAAAAAAAACAGGTACTTGTTTGGTAAAAACAATCAAATTTTTTGTAGTAGCACCCATAACTTCGTTAATAGTGATCGAAGAATGACAGGAACAAAGTCAGTTTCTATAATGTAGAGAAACGGTACTTCAAATGAAAATAAAAAAAAAATAATAATTTCAAAGCGAGTGATCACACGGTTTTTTTACGTTTTTGTATCCCACTCTAGGGGACGTTTGAACGGAGTGCATGCGCCTCATTTCGGACTAGTCTATGAAAGATTCGTTTTTAACGCACTCAACTTCATATGTTCATGGCTTGATTCACGAATGCTTGGTAAGTTCTAGGTAACCTACTGATTTGTAGATCACTGATTTGTCGTTATTTTTCGTCTCATGTTAAATTTTCCAATTAATTGATATCAGTTATCTGTCTCGCATTATCTGGAATTCGGCGCCATTGTAGCTTTTTTCCAGCCAAGCTCATTTTGCATTGCCTAGGAGGTTTCGATTGTTCAGAAGGCCATTTACTATTGTATTCCCACTTACCGCTTTCTTCTATGCTTTGTCTAGTTCCATGGTAAGCAGTTCCGGCCTCATAGCAGGAGAACTCGGGAATTTTTCCAGAAGCGCCGGGCTGGAAGTGCCGGCAACTTATTAGAAATTTAAAAAAAGAATACAAAGCGTATGAGAAAAATTAATTTTATCCCATTAATAAAGCTAATTCATACTGTATTCTTTGCGCAAAACGCTTTATACATTCTGTATTTACATGGCCACCTTTCATTGAGCATTTGTTAAGGTTTTTTTCTCTATGAAATTCACTTTAACTTACAATTTGCTGGTTTTTACAAAAGGCCTTAGAGAAGAAATGAAACATCGTAGATTTCATTTTGTGGAATCAGAATATGCGCTAGGATAAGATTGACCAGAAAATCTCATTTTTCATAGAAATTGTCCTTACAGGCTTTTGCAGTGTCGCTGTCGATATATTTTTAAGATACAGTCGACTATCGATAGTTGGAAGTTTTCTTGTAGTTGGATCCCTTGGATTCTCTTAACTTCATCATTCAGCAGTAAGAAATTTAAACATTTATTGTTGGGGATTTAAACATTTCCATTGGATTACTGGAGCTGATATGGGGATAGGACAGGAATTGCTGTTTTAATGTGGGACTGGGAGAAATAAACGAGCCTATATTCAGAATTCATACCGCCATTGGAGTTGTGGATAACGGTAGGGGTTGGTTTAGTGAGTGCCTGATGGCTGGGTATTACCCGGGCTTTATTAACAGCGATGACCGTCCCGGGATAGCCTGATAAGGGTGCTATTGCCTGCAAGGAGACAAAGAGTAATGTCATCTGCTTCGCTTTAAAACCGGGTCCCTGGCTCTGATAGTACCCACTATCCAGCTCTGCATTGATCTCGAAGTAATATCCTTAGGATCTGTATAAATCAAGCTATTGTTTTAATAAGTTTTGCAGCCTTATGTGATTCTAAAAGGTTATATACATAATATAAAAAAAAAAACTCAGAGAAAAAGTATCTACATACTGCGGCATCTTATAATAAAAATAAAAGAAGAAAATAAGTTCCCATGGCGGACTTATCGTTGTCAGAACAACGTAAAACCATGGAGACAAACATTTTACTATGTAGTATTACTCACTCTATTATAAAAAAATTGTAATATTTCTGAGCGAAAGTGCAACTAAAATAGTTTAAATAAAAAAAGTCTTCCAAGTAAAGCCAGTATAGCTTCCTCACCGTTTCACCGTTTTCATTGGCTAAAAAAAATATCTGTATTACAAGATCTAAAATTTTTCGCATGAGAATAAAATCTCAAGGAGAACCCGTTTTCGGAAATTCAGTAATTCCCCAACATATACAGGTTTGGTTTCCACTGGTTTTGTTCATCACAGAGTATTAAAATGCGAAAGAGTTCCGCATTTGCAGATTGGATATTTGATGGTTAATGATTAAAAAAAAATTCCAGTGCATACTGATCATTAATGTATAATGTAAAATTGAGTGTTTTACAGGAAAGCATAAAACTAATCGTTTCTTTATGATTTATTAGTATAATTTCATAATTTATTGCCCTCTGCCATTTTTCTTCGTAGCAGAATGCTTATATCAGTCGCATAATGCAAAATTCCACCTTTAGCACAAATAAAATAAAAAGTTGAAATTTTTATTTATTATTATTTTTAAAATGCCACTTTTAGCACAAATAGAATTAAAAGTTGAAAATTTTTACTTACGGCCCTTTGCACTAACAGTAGAAATATTTACTTGATCGGCTTGTTTTCACTCGTAAAATGGATAGAACAAGAAATCCATAAGAAAAACTATATTTTTTTTTCAGAGTTAACGAGACCAATATTTTTCTTCAGAACAAAAATATTTAAGCTGAAATATAAAAAACGTCTGCCAAGTAAGGTCAGTATAGCTTCCTCACCGTTTTCATTGGCTAAAAAACAAAACAACTATATTAGAAGATCTAACATGTTTCGTATGAGAATAAAATATCTGGGAGAAGCCATTTTCGGAAGTTCAGTAATTCCTCGACATATATGGATTTGTTATTCATGAGTTTTGTTCATTGAATATTAAAATGTGAGAGAATTCTACATTTGCAGCTCGCTTAATTGATGATTCGTGATTAAATAAAAATTCCAGTGCATACTGAACATTAATTTTACTACTGTTAGTGGAAAAGACCGTATGTAAAAATCGTATGTTTTACAGGAGAGCATAAGAACTAATTGTTTCTTTATGATTCATTAATATCATTTAATTAATAAATTGAAATTATATTAATATTAATATAATTTCATATTTTATTGCTCTCTGCTATTTTCTTTGCTAAGTTCATGCAACTTTGATATTTAAGGATGGAATCGAGACCACGACGAGCTAGTTTAACGTCCATAGAAATAAACACATTCGCAAATAAGACTTTTTTAATACAAACTCAGTGTAAAAATAAATTTAAATTTACTGAGAGTGACACGAAATCTTAGTAGCGGTAGCAAGTGACTTTTGGAATCGATCAAACAATACATTATAAATTAACTTTTAGAATAAAACCTACAACTTCATAATCCCATAAAAATATTATGTTAACTCCCACTCCAGATGGCCTTCCACATTTGACAGCTATTATATTGTTAACAATTATTTATATTAATTTTAATTATTAAATGGAATTCAATGAAATTGATACAAGGTAATTTCTATACTATTCTACAAATTTCTTCCAAGTTTGGGTGAAATCGAACGCGCAGTTTAAACCATAGGCGTGCCAAATAATAAATTTGATCTGAAAGCGAAAGTATTTTTCTATTTTTATGGTTTAGTAGACGAAAATTGATAAAATTCATACATACTTGATTATCTAATATACCTAACTTCCATCCAAATTTGAGCCAAATAGAACCGACGATTTTAGAGATTTATCAAGAAAAACACGTTTGCATAGATATATGAGGAAGTAGTTGACAGAATTCAATAAAATTGACATTACATTATTTTTTCACCAATGTTTACCTTTTATTAAACTTTGAGCAAAATCGGACGAGCTGTTTCTGGAATATTGGTAAATCTAAAAAAATATGTCTGCGCTTGAGTATGAATTTCGCACGAACCCTGAATATTCCATGAAAATCGGATGAAAGGTATTAGGTCGTAAGATAAGTCTGTCACATCAATTTGACTACAGACAGACCGACAGACAGACACCGAACCAAATTTGATCCTTGGTGTCTGGAACGTAAAACGCAAGTGGAAATTTTCTAATCTGAGGACTAATGTTTTTTAACCTTTCGCATGAACACAATGCTTCCCTACCTTCGGAAGTGAGGAAGCAAAATGAATGAATGAAGATGATGCTGCCCAAAGTAATGAAAGACGACAAATATGAATAGGAAGTATCGAGCCTACGTTTATTGGGATGAAACGGTTATTCCTCCAGACATGGTTTTATTCACTTACCTATTCCGTTATAATACTTTTTATGGGGTTCAAACTCTATGTAATTTGTCGTATTGAATTTAATGTAAAAGTATGTTTGACGATAGGAGTCACGTGATTTTTAAAATTGTTACCTAGTTGCTGTCCTATCCTAAGTCAATTTCGAGCCCTCTAAGTAAATATATAAAAAAAGTCTAATCACACTTAAATGTATTCACAGGACAGTATAATAAAAATCAAACTTAACTTTTGATAATGATTTAAAAACAATTATTTCATCATAAAAATGAAAGTTCTGAAAAACGATATTTTCCAGAAGAAAATATAAAGGAGCTTAAAGGAATGTACTTTGTTCCAGCTTTCTTTAATTATTAATATTAGGAAAAAAAACCATGTTACTTCTTTTAAACATTTAACTTTTAAAACAACTCAAGAAGAAAATAAAAAGAAAGGAAGAAGAAAATACTTTACTAATACTATTTAAAAAAAAATTGGAATCAGATAAGATTAAATACGTACACGTACTTCATAGATTTACGAGTAAAATAAGACGCACTTACAAGAACGACAATCTTTAAAATCCAAAGTATTAAGACTTATAAGAGTTCCTTGATAAGTAACCAACATAACATACGACAAACAACTATCGATGGATCTTTATATAAGGTTTATTCCTAATTTCATAATAAATTCCATGAGCTCAACCTACTTTTAACGACATGACCACGTTAGGTCATAACATCAGAAGGCGACTGAAAAGAGCAAGATGAGATATCTCCACTACCGAATTAAGGAAATCAATAAAATAAGGGTACTTCATTCTTGATGTCAGAAATGCCAATACCAAATTAACAATACATTAGATGATTATCACATCCATAACAAGTGCAAATGAAGATATAATAAATCGAATTACTCCAATTTTTTATTTTATTCATTTTTCAACAACACTTTCGTTGCCACGTAGCATATATCAGCTTTAGGGGCATGCTTTCTTTTCCAATGAAAGTATATAAATAGATTTTTTTTTTTTAAATTTCTTTATTGAGTATTATAACAATCTGTCTGTTCGACATTGGTTATAGTGAGGTAGGATAACATTCACACCATATGTACAAAAAAATAAAATAAATAGAACAAAATAATAATCAAAAGTATATACAATAGACAATAAAATAAAATAACCTAAAAAATAAGAAAATTAAAACTAAGGAAAAAAAAAAAAAAATAACATGCATACCTATATACAATCAGGCGAGGGAACTCCAGGAGAACCCTGCGCTACTCTTCCAACCGCGTCACTGGTACTAAAGCCAACGGAGATTGGTCGAGAGCACTTTAGCCACATACACACATGTCTTGAGTGAAGAATCTGGCCATTGCCAGAACTCCAATTTATATAATTTACAAAAGGTCGCGAGGCCACTGCCGTTTCAACCTTCTTGGAGGATTATAGGGATGGGAGATGCTTGATAGGGATTGTGCAAGAGGATTTGGGTGGTAAGTAAGGTTCTGGTGAAATTTGGAGAACTTTTCTGGGATAAGGTCTAGGACAAATGGGATGTTAAGGTCATGATGTAGGGTTTTGTTGGATACATAGAAAGGAGCATCGACTATTGTTCGAAGGACTTTAGACTGGAAGGATTGGATGCGCTTGATGTTAGAAAATTTTGCTGATCCCCACAGTTCTAGTCCGTAAGTCCAAATAGGTTTCAGTATTGTCTTGTAGATCAGTAGCTTGTTTTCAATGGAAAGTTTAGATTTTCTGCTTAGTAGTCGGTATAGTTGGCCGTATCGTCGGTTGAGTTCTTGTCTTTTGAGTCTAGTATGCGGGTTCCAAGTTAGTCTTCGGTCTAAATGAAAGCCAAGATACCGGACTGTGTCTGAATAAGGAAGCTGGATGGAATTAAAGAGTACTGGTGGACAGGAATTGCGTCGGAGTGTAAAAGTAATGTGTTGGCATTTAGATTCATTAACTTTAATGCGCCAGTTATTACACCAGTGCTCAATCAAGGTGAGATGACTTTGGAGATTTAAGGATGCTATTTCGGGATCAGAGTTGGATGATAAGATTGCGGTGTCGTCAGCGAATGTTGCAAGAAAAGTATCGGGATGAACAGGGATGTCAGCAGTAAAGAGGATGTAAAGCACGGGACCCAAGACGCTGCCTTGGGGAACACCGGCTTTAACGGAGTAGATATTGGAAAATTCTGTTCCACAGCGAACTCGAAAGGAGCGGTCAGAGAGGTAGGATCGGAGGACTAGGTACAAGGACTGAGGTAAATGGATTTTAAGCTTGGAGAGGAGTCCGGAGTGCCATACCCGGTCAAATGCCTGTGCAATGTCCAGAAAGGCACCCGAACAGTATTCCTTGTTTTCTAGGGCT